AAGCTTATGCAAGCTCTGCATTTCTATCTTAAATGTCCAACATCTCTGCTTTAGGGAGCCTTTTCAGCAAATTACCATATATGGCAATCTCTCTCGAAAATCTCAAACTCTCACAGTATTATAGCTCTTTCACGGACATTTTTCTGACAGGCATCCTAGCTTCACGTTCATCTTGCAAACGACAAAGATAGCATTTACCTTGACTGTAGGAAGATGCCTACAAGTTACTTCGGTAGATGCGTTATTGTTTTAAACGACTACTTTATGCTATACACACTTAACATGTACTTTTCTCTCTAGCAATGATTGCCTGTTTCACCAATCCATGACCAATCACTGAATTAAGACATTATTCAGAGGACTTGAACTTTGGATCTCCAGCAGTGAGATCTGTGTTTTTACTATTAAAATTAAAGGAGCAAGGATTGCTTCTTAAACATTTCTTTGTTCAGGGGAAACAAACAAACAACTCTCCCACATAACACCAGTAAAACTGTTGGATCAGAGCCCCAAAGAAAACCACCTGTCAGTAAATGGGATTGGACCTTTCAGCTGAAGCTTGCAACAACAGCTTGCATCTTCTGCATACTCATTCAAGACTAGATTATTAGGGTTTTACCTTTACTATTATTCAGGATTAACCCCTGTCAGGTAGTTCTCACAGCATTTTGACAGGTAGAACTAACGATCAGGTGAGAGGATTCAAGCAAAATGTTCAGATACTCAGTGATGAGTGCAATAAGAATTGAAGGTAATTTCTAAGTAGGTAACAACGAGTACTCTGTGGTAGCAAAGAGCTGCTCTGTATTTTCAGTGCCACTGAAATAACTTTTCCATTTATACCACTGTAAAGATGATCGGCAGGAACACTTAAGAAGTATCCCTTGCTCAAAACTGGGGGTATCTCAATCTGAGGAGAAGAAATCATATTATAATGGCTTTTCCTACCATAACCTTTCTTTGCCTGGACCTAAAAGTCACTATTTGGTGGAGCTTTTTGTCTTTCAAGACAATTTCAAAGCTGAGACTTAATCTAAGAGTTTTCTAGAAAGTTTTACGTAGCAGACCAAGCTGTGCACGTTGTTAACAATGAACTCAGGTAAGGAAAAATAATTTTGCCAAAAATGCAGAAAACATTTAAGAAACCTGAGATATAAGCAACTGCATTTCATCCTAACTAGAATGAAAGTGACAGCAAGAACTTCACATCAATGAGGGCTTTCCTCGTTTTTCTGAAAATTTAAGATGGATGGTAGACATGAAATACATGAAAGAGATAAATGAACTGAAAAACTCAACACATGGATAGAGAGGCATCTTTTACAGAGTTACAAAGCAGCAGCTTTTTATCTTAAAAAATTGTTATATGTACTTTCATACGGTCAGTGGCTACACTCTGCCCACTTAATGACTTACGGCTTCCATATGCAAAATTAAAAAGAAATTAAAATTAAAATGTAGTGCACAAATAATAAACAGATGTTTTAACTGTTAAAAGCTGCAGAGATACACGTTTCTGAATTAACTGGAGACGCCACCTGAAGAAAGTGATTATTCGGGAGGAAAAAAGCAGTTACTTCTACTAAAAATGTTAAAGCAATAATCACTTTGTAACTGTTTATTCAGAGTGAAAACACAGAGTTTAGTCTCGCTCATGATTCAGCCTTGGCAGCCATTTAAGTGGCTAACAGACTTATCACTGACAAATTAACTAATTTGCCAATGGAAATACAAATTAATTTGTAACTTGGTTATATTTCAAACTACTACAAACCCAAGTCTTGGAGGAAAAAAAAAACCCTCAAACCCTAGAGAGCTCAAATGTAAGTAAGCTGAGCGAGTTAGAAGACTGTTGGGCATAACTGCCAGGGTGTTGGTAGCAGGGGGCTGCAGGGGTGCCCTGTGTGGGAGGAAGCCAAGAGCTGCCCCAGGCAGTCACAGCTGATTCTGACACCGTAAACACCCCATTGCCTGCCAAAACTTCAGCCAGCCGGGGAGCCCTTGGCCCCTCTGCTCAGATGTGTTTAAGGAAGAGCTGCGGCCGCTAGGGAAAGGGTCTGCAGGAGACCCATGCCACAACAGGGACACTCCTGCGGGACTGTGGATCATAGGCAGCCTGCACCAGGGCAGGGACACCCCTGAGGAGACTGCAGTCAGAGGAGGACTCGCGCTGGAGCAAAGGGAAATGAGAAAGAAGCAAGGAGCAAAAGAAGGAAACTGTTACACACCTGACCTCAAACTCCCGCACGGCCCTTCACTTCACTGAAGGAATTGGGACGGAGCGAACGTAACGCATGGCAAAAATGGGGGACTAGGAAGGTGGCCAGGAGAGGCGTTTGACTGAAGCCAAGCTTGGGGGGGGGTGAGGAAAGGCGTTTCCTGAACTGTTTAACTGTTTCTTTCTTTCCGTTTTCTTAATACCTGAAAGAATGATTTGAAGATTTAGGTTGATAAGCAGTAAATTCAACTCAGTAACAACTCCCTGAGCCAGGACTGTTTTACCTGTGACAAACACTCGATGCAAAACAGTCACCAGGAAGACCACGGTGTGTTATTTTAAAGCATGCATTCTCAAACGGAAGCGTACTTGGTGTCTGCTTCACAAAGCAAGGGGTCTGCATCATCATATCACGTCATCCTCCCATGCACACGCATAATTAAAAACAAACAAGAACAGGTTAGTGTCTGTGAATATGCAAGTCCATGAAGATGAACAAAGTTATAAGCACGAGGAAAAGGCAACACACTATACTGATATGGCACTTCACATTTGAGAATGGCTAGATAAACTGCTAACATTTGTGCAAGTACTTCAATTTTATGCCGGCCACAGAAATATTCTTTACTGTCTGTTTCCACAATTGACAACAGGATTCCCAAGACTTGCTTTTAACAGTTCAAAAAACCCACCAAAACAAAACAAAAAACACCCCAGACTCTTCAAATCCTGACAGGGTCAGAAGTCGGATGGAAAGGTCATCTACGAAGCTACAGGCATTTCCAAATCCGGTTTTGGGTATGTACCATAACTATCTCATCCTCTGATGTGCAATGCGAAGACAGTAAACCAGACAGCTTTTTGACAGGAGCAAAGATTTTTACTGTATATTCTTTATGCCAAAAGCACTGAAACCTGAGCATCTAATTTATGCAAAACATCCCTGTATCTAGACAGCACATAAAAATTTTAGAGTACTCAGTGTTCACTGCAGATGTATAATTTGAAAGTATTTTTATATGAAAATTATACATTTTATACTGTTGGCACACAATGCAGCTCATTTTCTCAGTTCAAAGCTGAATAACTGCAGTATGCCTGAAAATATTTGTTTCCAACATGCAAAAACAGACAATATTGGTGATGATAGCCTAGGACGTATTAAACTACTAGGTTCTTTAGATGAAATGTTCTTCTATTTAAAAACAATGAAACAAAAAAAATACACCGTAAAATTTTAGTTGTCCCCTTCAGCTCCAGAAAGCATCAAGAGCTGCTAATGAAGGACTGCCACCATTCAGAAGGTTAGCCTTATCTCCTAGGTCTAGTATTTGCCTATGCTGTTCTGCCTTCTTGCTTGTTCTTAAAAATAGGCAATTATATATAAACTTGCCTCCCAAAATTCACTTAAAGGTTATAAGCACCATTATACTAATTAGGTTAAAACTCATTAAGTGCAACACATCAAGCTGAAAATTACTTTCTTCCCCCCTTCCCGTCCCCCATTCTGCACCCATTTCTTGATTAATCGGTTCTTCCCGGTAAAATCTGGAAGTTATCCAGTTTTCCCCCTGGAGTATTCTTTAGCATCCCTGCCCAAAACACACGCTAGAAGAATCAGCTAGTCAAAGCACGATTTGTCTTTTTACGCACACAACACTGGAATTTCTAAAGCACTCATGCTGACTTTGTGGGATTTGTGCAACTACAGTATTCAGATTTTCATGATCTTCTAACCAGCATCACATATCTTTGCTCTCTTCCTGCCAGGGAACAACTTGAAGGATACCTGAAGTCTCCCACCCTTCACAGATGTAGGCTAGCTGCCGCACATTTACAGTCTGTGAGGCTGGGGTCTCGTGAGCGCTGAGCCATTTTAATGTCCCCCTGACGCTAGAAGTGGGAATTCTTGCTTCTGCTCCCTCACGACTGGCCACAGAAGATCCTTCCCCTCCCTTATTCAAGCTCTGGTGCTTATTAGACTTTCTGTGACCCAGTTTAACTTACTAGACCAGCAAAAAAACTAGCCACAGTTTTTCTTCTGGATTAGTTTTCTGCCAGGTTATTTAGTTGCATCAGCTCATGGAAGTGTCTGAGAAGAGCCAAACCAACACAAAAGAGAGCTGCTGTACCAGCTCACCGCCTCAAACAGCAGACCCACTATATACGGGAGGCCTTACGATCACAACTGCCAAAGAAGCAGCTTTTACCTCTGCTAAACAGAAGAACATTGAAACACAAAGGTGAAGAGAGGAGGTCTGTAACACATGAACATGCCTTTTTCAGTATCTTTTCCTCATTTTTTTAAGTCTCAAAATCTAGATAATGTGTATACGGTAAAGCTTCTTATTGGGGGAGGGGGATAAAAACAAAACACAGTATTTGGCTAACTTCAGTTTTTCTACAGCCCCACTTTTCTTTTTGAGAGAGTCCCGCACTAAATTCAAGGTTGGGTTTTTTGTTGTTGTTGTTTTTTCCAAATTACTAACTTCAAGTCGCTCACTCCCTATAGGCTTGAAGGGTAGTCATCTCCTTAGTATCTTAATTCCTTCTCGTTTACATCACGTTCTCAAAACCAGTAATATGGTAAAATTGAACAGGAAGCAAAACACCAAATGCAAGGACATTTATTTAAAATAATACCTAAGGCACAGAGAAAATAGTTGTTTAAATAATGACCTAAGTCTCAGAAATATTCAAGTCATCTGCCTCTCTCAAAAGCAAACAAAATCTTCATTTCAAAGGGAGACAGCAAAAGTTAACTGTTTGTTTGATTACTTACCAATCAAAATTTGACCAGTTTTAATTGCTGAACTACCGGGCACCAAACCATGTACTACAAGCTTCTCTTCACCATTTCCTCTGATGCCTTTATCCTTCCCGCCTTGTTTTTCTGCTCTTCTGCTGCTCCATGAAGACTGATGAACAATCCCTACTAAGGCCTCCAGGAGCCTGAGCGGCTTCTCACCCCCAGCACTGCACAGTTTTCTGGGATTTACATAAACATATACATCTTTGAATTTCTGCTGGACAGTGACACCCATTTTCTGAGCAGACTGGTGTTTCAATATAGAAGTAGGACCAGGAGAGTGCCCATTACAGCTTCCACTGCCTTTTTTACCAGAATACTTTGGCAAAAGATTCTTCTTTTTTAAAATTTTGGTGAATTTCTTCAGTTTATATTTTCTTTCTTTTCGTGATCCCTCTTGAATAACTTCAGCTTCATTTTCACGAAATCTGACGTGATTCACGGCTGGCATTTCTGGACAGCTGTTGTGAAGCAGAGTTTCTTCTTCACTTTCACTCAGTTCTAAATAAAATAATTCTCCATTTTTCTGCACACCATCCAACCACTCAGGCTCGAGGTCACTGGGAAAGAAAGAAGAACGATCAGCGATAGCTCTGATAAGGAGGGTTGCGATGCAAGTGACATCTGTTTACTTCAAGTACAGAGGGGTTAAGGAGAGCGTGAGGGGGGAAAAAAAAAGCGTTATTCACTATTCCATTTTGTTAAAAATCTTGTTCCTTTCACATATAAGTTTTAATAAGTAATTATATTTCTGGGCACAATGAGGCTTTCTTTTATAGAAAAAACACCATCCTATTTGTCCTCTCCCCTTATTTTTCCCATACACTTTTAAAAGGATTGCACTGCAAGCCCTTTGAAAGACAAGATTAATGTTTTAAAAACCACTTTAATACAACAAAAAAACCAAGATGAAACTCCAACAACTCTTTTTTTTAGACAAGTTTAAAATAGTGTACTCAAACTCACATGCAAAAAATACAAAACAGGAAAAAGTAAATACGCAGTACTGCTACAGAAAAAGTTTGGCAGTTGGAGCGGATCACTTTAAATAAGTCAACAGCACCATGCTGTTGCACAGAAAGAGCGAAGCAACTGAAAGATGTATTAACAGGAGTACCATATGCCGCACAAAACATTTTTTTGTCCTAGTTTGACAACGGCAATGTGTCAACCATGTCCAGTTTTGGACAGTACATTTTAAGAAACAGATAATTACTGGAACAAACCAGTACAAAAATGTTATTACTTGAACAAACCGAAATGGAGACTGACATAATAATTAAGATCATACGCTGCGCCAAGTTGTTAACATACATCTTATACGACAACTAGTTATACTTCACTGAATAAGGGAAGCAAATTTTGCTTAGCGGTAGTATTAGTACAGCATTCAAATATACCATTAATTTGAATATACATAAACGATACAGCTTCAAGGTCTAGCTGAGCAAAGAACAGTATACACGAACACTGCACCAGAACAATGTTAAGGGGTCAAAGAGAGGATCTCACTGAACTAAGAGCATAAAGAGCCATCCAGTATTATTCTCTCCTGGAATCCCAGTGACTTAAAGAAGTCTCCCGATGTTGCAGATAAAAACAAACACCAGGCACTTCCTCCACATTTATTATTTTGCCCAAGTTTATGCTCTTAAGCCACCACCTGTGATAATTTAAACATTCTGGATGTAGCTACTATGGTCATGACTAAGCCAGAATTTGAATCTTTACAAGTTCTTACTTAAGAAGGTATTAGAATGATAACAACACGCAATAAGCATTAAGGCCAGACATCTGATCCAACACCTCTCTAAAGGCATTATGTAGGAAATAACATTACTCTTTTTTTTTTAGTTATTATTATTATTATTAAAGAAATCACACATTCTAGTACATGTAAGAAAAGTGAGGGAAAAAAATTAATAAGGAAACATTAGAAATTCACAATAAAATAACATTTGGGTTAGCAGAAACTCCTATGGCACATGATAGCCTTTTAACTCCCTCTTCGAAAGGGACCGCGCTCTTTGGAAATGCTTTTTCTTCTTGGCGGCACGTGCCAAAATTTCAGTTTGCACAGCAATTCCTACACTCATGTGCTCCAAGCTTCCTCACCAATTTTTATTGGAACCTATTATACGGTCCAAAGGGGAAAAAAGAGAAAGAGAAAGCCGCACGGAAAGAAAGAGTGAGACACGAGGTCCGACCAGAACGCAGGTGTACACCCAACAGCCTTGCCTCTCGCTGCGCTAGGTGTATGGGACAGCTCCAACACAATGTACGTTTAAACACACTTCATACCTCTCCTATGGGAGTTTTCCTCTTTTTTTTTTTCCCTCTTCACTGTATTATACACCGAAAATACATGCAGAGTAGAATGCCATCCATTAGACTTTAAAACATACACTCGAAATGACGAGCAGAGATGCTTTAACAGGTAGGCAGAGGAAGGGAGGCAGACTGGGAATAAATTTTTATAAAATCAAATAGGAAATAGTTTTCTTCTCACTTCCCATTTCCCAAAAGACAGACGATTAAAGAGAAGAAATGCATCTCAAATGATAAAGCATTTTTAATATTATATGAGCCAAGTCCATTCTTTCATTTATCTTTCTGTGGGGATACAGGAACTGATCCAAAGATCGCCTATGAGCTAAACTAATACTGGAGCTCGTCACGGTACTTTTAGGGCTACTATGCTAAGAAAAAGTCGTCTTAAAAGAGGAAAAAATATATACGTTTTCCGCGTGTAGAAATGACAACATACCACAAGCTAATACTCTTTACTTAAGTACACCATCTGATTATAGTGGGGACAGTTACTGACGGCAGTCTTCTGCCCTCACTAAGAAAAACACCTTCAGAAAGAATACCCTGGGGGTGGGGGGGGTTTCCATGTACTACAATAAACGCTTTAGTCTCCCAAGCACCGGCAGGCTCTAACCGCACGCACTCCGCTTTCAGAGGACCGCGGCAGGAGCCCGCAGCCGCCCGGGGCTGTGCTCCCT